CCGAATAAACTTCTTAATTGGCCAGTTCATGCTCATTTTCCTCCTGTGCCAGTTGTTTTCTTTGTTCTACTCAGTTTTTTCCTTCCCTTTTGCATACTCCTTTCATTTCTTTATAATTGGAAAGAGATCCTACTTCAGCTTCCAATTTGTTAAGCTAAACAAAGCAGCTATTTTAGTGGCTTCTTGCAAAAGAAAAAGAATCCTAGTATTAGGATTTCATTTCCCAGAAGAGGAGAAGATGTATCAGGGTGGGACTACATCCTGTGTAAATGTGTGGACTGTGGCACACAGGACTCAAGTTCTGAACAGGAGTGGGAGGGCTCTGCATACGATACGAACAAGCCAAAAGTCAAACATATTAAAACAGTGCCTTGTCTAAATGAACACGCACTCCCCTCCTAGCAGTGCTTTTTACCTTCGACTCAGCTGGGATTTAGTTTGGATTGCATTAACATCGATCACATGGAGGCAGAGGGAGCTTGCAGCTACCCTCCTGCTATGAGCAGTATAGACAACCCCAGAGAGCACTGAATGCTTCCCTGGAACATGGCTTTTCCAAGGGTTAAGCTCCTATGTCTTACACAATTCTAGGTCCTGATCACATACGTTTGAATGCTGAGACTAAAACTTTCTATTGTGAGGGATCTTATTGAATCGCTCACAGTATCTGCTGGATTCAGAACCTTGGAAGCAAGCGTGGAGAGAGACCACAGAAGAAATGGATTCCTGACTGTTATCTGGCATGTTTTGACATTTTAAAACATTTTCCTAGCTTATCTTTACACCTAATGGATAATAGTTGTCTGGTGCCTAAGTATTACAACTGAGATATAGTTAACATAGTTTAAAAGATGAAAAATTACAAGCTCGGTTCTTACTAGCAACCAATTAATTCACCTATTAATGCAAAAAACATGTCCTGATCATTTACTGTAACACTACACATGCATGTCCATACATTTTGCCATGGTGTCTGTAAGCATTCAATCCCTTTAGTGGCACTGGAAAATTCAGCTATCCTCAGCGTCGCCCTGAGGAAACCCCAGGCACTGTGAAAAGCAATGCTCATGAATTACTGGGCGGCACACTCCTTTGTGAGTTGGCACAGAATTAAGGTCCAGACTTGGGGCTTTGGGGCTTTGAGACCAAAAAACATCAATGCCCTGAGCACCACTGGCCTAAGGAAAATATAATCTTTGTATTCCCTTAAGAAAGAGTACGTTTAACCACAGGCCTCAGATAAATTCTGGTATTATTATTACAGGATATATCACTGTAGTAAGAGCTCAGCATATTCTTTCTGCTTAGTGGGTTCAATCTATTTATTGTTACAATATTTCCTTCTCCTCTGACATTTCATTATTAAAGACATCCTTCTTGGATTTTTTTCCCAGGGATTTCTGACTAAATAATTTGTGCTTTGTCTACTCTCCACATAGGCAGTTGGCCAAGCAAAACTTACTCTCTACATGTAGGCTAGTATCTATCTTTCCCTCCATTTAATAAGATTTTCTGGGTACTGCAAAGCAGCAAGGACTGCAGATTGTAGGATGCTGCAAAGATGTGGTTAATCATTAAAAAATGAGTTCTCAGTGAAAACCACTAAGCTTGACACATTGGTGTTACAACACACCTCAAAGAATTTTGCTAGAGTGATTCATTATCACACCAACTTTTATATCAAAGGTATTTTCCTAGAAGCAGTTTCTTGATTAATAATATATTTTGCACTCAGCTTCAGGCAGTTTGCCTACCAACACAGAGCATGCAACTAAGCTTCTTCAAAAAGCTACCAGATAACTACTTGCATTTTTTATGCAATATATAGTTCTTGATTCATTAAACAAAATCAAATGAAACAAGAGCACTGACTTTTCAAAACCAGGTATTGTGGTTTTCTAAATGTATTTCAGAGATTAGTATCTCCCAGTGTCTAGTATTGCAGAGAACAATATAGGGCAAAAGGTCTTTGTCCTTTCAGGTGATAGAACACCAGTTTGAGGTTCTTACTGAGGATCTGTAAGGAAACGAATTCCTCTGGCTGAATGCTTATTCACAGGTGCATTATCTGGTGAGACTTTTCATACATTGTGGTCCAAAGGCATTCCTACAAATATTTCTGCTAGTGACCAAAGAATTGGTGACAGACATCTACTGCATCTCTTGGTAAGTCATTATCTGTTGTGAAGCTATTATCTCCACTGAATCATAGACTTCCATTTGGATTTCAGATTTCTTTCTTCAGCTTTCACTGCTACATATGAGATCCTACAATGCCTTTTTGTACAAGGTATAAAAGATTAGATTTAGATGTGTTTTCCTGATTCATAAACAATACAAAGTAACCCAACTGCCCTTAACCTTCTCCTCTTTAATAAATTGTTTTTCAAACTCCCTTTCCTTTTGCAGCTCTTTTCTGCAATCTTCCCAATTTTTCAACTTTTATCAGTATGGACTATCTTATTTCAAATACACTCCACATGTACCTGTATAGTCAACAAAAAAGCAGCCACTAAAGCTCTGGTATTCAGAGTGATTCTGTGGAACCTCTTGAAGATAAAGTTCAGTCACCCCATAAGTCCTTTTACCCTTAAACACTGAGGCTTATACTAAAGAAACTTCACCTGTGGAAAGAAAATGTATATTTATTGCATTCTTTTTATCACAGCCTTTGCTAACATGAAAAAAAAGTTCTAGTTTTTTCCTACTTATTTGTTCACTAACAACTACTTGAAATGACTCATAATTTTTTCACAATACCTTTAACAATGAAAGACGCTACAGGAAATTCTGGTCTGGCCAAATTTCTGCTTCTGCTCTATTATTGCCATGAAATCCACACTGTTTTCAGGAGTAGCCATTATTATATTGTAGCTGTGTAGCCCAGTAATATGGTATTGCAACTGCTAGCACCAGACCACATACCTGGATCTGAGTTTGTAAGGATTCAGGCTTTGTCTGATCTTGTCCTGACAGAAATTTTGATTTAATTGCTTAAGCTCTTCAGCAGTTCTTCTAATGACTAGTTAGTTGTGCTATTTTGTTTTATTTCCACTTACTCTTGTAACATACAACCTGGATTTTCAGATGTATAATAGTGTTCTGTGTAGAAAGACACATTTATAACTGACTCAATTCAACTATTGTAGAGAAATACAGGCCTGGTAAAACAGCAAATGCCTTGAAAACCAGGGACAAAGGATGAGGTGTAAAGGACTACAGGCATGGGATGACAAGAGGTGGGGCTCTGGCTAGTACTGGCAATCCCGTGGCTATAACCAACGTGCCAGTGATCAGTTAAAAAATGCAAGCCTGGAAGTGGACAAAACTAGCTTTAGGGTAAAAAAGAGAACAAGTATGTAACTTATGTAAAATGCCCCATATACAGAAAATTTTTATGTAACATGAATTTGTAGCCCAGTGAAGAATATGTAAAGTATGAATGAATGTTAGCAAACATATAAAAATTACCCCAACTGCAGCTTTATAGCTTGACACTGGAAGAACTAAAAATAGTAAAAGTTTAAACTTTCTCAGTGACACTGAGCATACAAAGATAAAAGGGACCCTAGCAGATTTGTTTCTTACTATCATTAGAGATATTTGTTCGGAGCAGACCATACAAACCTAATTACTACCTTAGCTCGGAGAAAGGCTGTAAGTTTCAGCACAGACTGGTTCGAGATTTTTTTAATAATAAAAGCACAATTTAAGTCTTTAATATCACAATTTTTAAAAAGCATCTTCTTGTTCTTAATACTGAAAGAAAAAGATGATTATAAGGATCTCTGTAATACTAAGACTGTTTTTAAAACACCACTGTTTGTCTTTGACTAATTTTCTGGTTTGTTCCTAGAAGCCTTCAAGATAACTCCTCTCTTTAATTAAAACAACAAAATATTGAAGCGTTCTGCATACCATCTGAAGACAATGATGCTGCAAATGCATAATTGATTGCAGAATTTGAAACTGATAGCAGTTTTCTGTTAGTGCGAAGAGAAACTGGATGTAAATGTTCCTTCCTTCAGTCCTAAGGATCTCCCTGACAAGGAATCCAGAACATGACCAGTGGCTACAAGACTATGCTGGCCATAGCTTTGACTGCTCCCTTTCATCCTTCTTCTTCTTTGGCTTTCTCTTCCCACCAGTCCATGCTCACAAACAGGGATGAAACAGAGCTCAGAAGAACCTCTGGAAGGAGGACTTCCCAGGATTCTTCTGTGTTCTAGTCTTAGAGCCACAAGATAATACTGAGTCAGGTTTATCCAACTGAACGAGTGCAAATGAAGCAGTTAAATGAGATTGCAGTTCCCATGGGAGCCTTTGGAACTCAGTTGAGCTTTCATGCAACTCACACACAGGCTGCTGCTGGCACAGATCAACTGGGTGGTCTTCAGGGGCAGTGACTAAGGCAGCCACAGTAAATAGCTTTCTTTCATATATGTCTTCTTTTTAGCTTTTGAGTTGACCACAAGAAACCAGGCTTTCAAACTCTGAATTTATATATAGAATTTGCAGGCGATTTTAGGACTACATTGCAAACTTAAAGTCTCAGTGATTTCTATGTACCTCTAATGAGATACTGCAACATAAATATTATCCAAACTGTGATCATAATTTGAAAAAAAAATATTTTAATTAATTTTCTCTTATTGTTGCCAGTACTAAAAACTATAAAACAATATCCTCAAATATTTTCCTCTGGAGAAAAAATGGCAGAAGCCAAGTTTTTAAAAGCTCTTGTTACGACATTCCACACCTCTGGCTATCATGCTTTAATGGTTTTATTATTTTCAACAAAAGCACTTAACTGTGCATGCATTTTCTTTCTGCATATTTATGCTTCTCTGCAGTAGATTAAGGAAGTAATTTTGAAGACCACATTTTTTTGAGTTATTTTGTTGCAAAATGGAAATAATTGGACTGTGATGAGTACAGACTGCTAATAGCTGCTGCTACTTAAAGAAGAGATATTTTTTAAAGAAGAGATATCATCTTACCCAATGAGCTATTATTCAGGACACTCTCCAAATACTTAACCATTGTCTCGATATCACTGTTCTGTGAATAAATGAAATAGGAATAGCATTATTGTGAACACAAACGTAAATATAAACACTATGTTCCAGAGGTATGATCCCACAAACACAGAGGATATCACCAAAAACTGTCAAGACTAGACTACAAAGAAGTTACATTGCCCAGGACTTTTTCTATGTTTTCTTCTCCTAAAACACCAGGCTTGGGAATGGTGTCATATCCAAACAATTTATGTCAGATTCCTTGCACAACACAAGTGTTTAGAACAACTGTGCATGGAGTTTAAAGAAGATATATTTACTGTGGAGGGTGGAGTGCAGTCTCTGAAAATACACCAGCATTTTACCATCAGTTAGTCCTGGAATATCTAAACCAACATTACATTGAAAAAGGCAAGTATGTGTTTCGTAACTATGTCAAAATTTTTTATGCTTGTGACAGATGCCCACAGCAAATTAGTACTTATGTTTCATGTAATTGCATCTACACATCTAGTAACAATGACTAACCGAAAAATTTTTAGTTAAGAAGAGATTTTAGCACTTTTCTATTTCAAGTGTTCTGTTACCAGATGGTTAACAGTTTTTCTATGATATCTTTCATGTGAAATGCTGTTTGTGTACACAGATGAAATTTAAAGTTCTGGCTCTTAAGCAATGATTGTTGTCCAGGAAGTACATCACAATTTTATTAAGTGCAAGAGAAACTTGGACTCCAGGTTTCTAGAAGGTGCTGCCATACCACATTTGACAACATGGCATTTCTTGACTATTTAAAACTGAAAGTCAAAATCTTGATCTTAATAAAAAATATGTCAAAAATATGTATTTTAAAGAAATATCCAGCACTCTATGCCTTTAAGACAGAAAACAACGGGATTAAAAAAAAACAATACTGACCTCCACTTCTACAATGGACAGTCTGCTTCATATTCTTCTGTGATCTTACTCAAAATGCTCATTCTAAATTTCTCAAACTGAGGAACTGCCAGTATACCTTAATGGGATAGCAATAACTGTTGGCAAGTACTGCTAGCTGGTTAGTGACCTTCTGGTGCAAATGGGAGCTGTTATGGATGAGCATGAACTAACTACTCTTCATCCCAAGTGAATATTTGAGACAGGCTCTGCTATTTCAGCACAATGGGAATCAGCTTCCTGGTGTCCATTGCAACAGGTAACACAAATGCTGTAGATCTGAAGAAGCCTCTTCGCCCTTTTGGAGCAGCCTGTGGGATCCTGGATTAAGTCAGCACCGGGGTTTCCAGTTCTGCAGCCCACCTGAAGTGCCTGAGTTACCTCAGATGATCAAGTTAATCTCAATCTGTTTAACTGGAGCTTTTGCCAGTCAGTAGTGAAATGCCCAGGAAATGCTAGAAAATGCATTCATTACATTTATATATACAACACATATTAAATATTGAATTAAGACAGTATTACTGATATAATTTCTCAGTATTTCTAAAAAATTATTAAAAGAACTTATAAGACTTCATTAAAAAGTTAAGTATTTTTCCCTAAAAATTAAAAATTAATATTAATTTTCTGCTAATATAATTTTGCATTTTTTAAATTTTCATTCATACTAAGTTAACCACAAATCTACAGACAGATAGAGAAAAGCATAGTAAATTACTATTATTGCTTTAATTAAAACTTTTTTTTTAAAATGGGAAAAAGACTCTAATTCCAAAACCTTTGACTTCTCTCAACAAGACATCACATTTATTCCAATTATAACAAGAAAGCTGATTTTTTTCTCTTTATGCTGTAAGGCAAAAGATACTTTTTCATCTCTTTCATCAGGAGAGAGAGAAAAAGCAGGGAATTTTCTCCACTTGGGTTTAGCAATGGAAGAGGATTTAGCTGTTTTATTTAATATGTTTATTTAATGTTTATTTATTTAATATATTTCTTTAATGTTTCTCTTTCTTTGCAAAGAAAGCAAAGCCCTACAGAATAGGCAAGGGACTCTGACAGACACACAAAAGAGAGGCACTCCTACGTGTCAGGGCCAGTGTGGATGAATGCTTGCTCATTTCAGATTCAGAACAAACAACAGCCACAGGCCATACCAAGGCATGCATTAGGAATCCAGTGGGGCATTTTTGGGGTGACAGAACACAGACCACTCACAGCTGCTGGAGTTATGATAATTTATGCCAGCTGATTGTCTGACAATCTCAGAAGCAACTCGGAATTTTAAAATAGGAACCTATTATAGCACATTAGTAGACTTTGTCATAACGGAGAGGGTGAATTTCTTACTATGGTCACTAAAAGAAAACACAAAGAACAAGGTGATAAACTGCAGTAGAGAGCATTAATTGGCATCTCATCTAAATCAAAGCCAATGGAAGCTTCACTGTGCACCAACTTTTCAAGATGAAACCTCTGTTAAACATCGTATTTGAAAATATTTCTAGAAACAGGTTGTCCTTCCCTTTCATGATTTCCCCCTAATTAGAAACTGGTTCTCCTTGAAAAAAAACATGGAAAAAAACCATTGGCTTGAAGAGGGAGAGGGATGGAAAAGTAATTAGCAAATTGCTGCTTGAAATCTGTCAATCTGCATTCCTGCTCCAAAACAGAGGAACAAAGGACACTAAACTCCAATGCTGGACAACGTATCTGAAATCACACAGGCTGTATTGAAAGGTATCAATATGAGGAAAAAAGCTGTCTCAGCTCCCATCCTAAACCTTTAAAATTACAGTGTTCCAGTGCCTAACTCTACCTTCTTAACTGAAGGTGTTGCATCTCACGTAAGGCCACTACTTCTCAGTCTGTCTTGACATCTGTGGGAGCTTAATATAGCTTGAATAAATTGCTCAGATCTCTTTCTACATCTTGCACCCCCATTTGTTTTTCAATTAGATGACTTTTCTGACCCCCATGTTACTGCATGAACATTGGGATTTTTTTTTAATCCTTGTTTGAAGTAATGGGGTCACCAGGGAGCGCCACCAGATGCAGCAATTCTGCACTCTCTGCACGGAAATAACTAGTAAAGCAATCTTGGAATTGGAAATTTGAGAGATTTGCAGAAACTAGGATGGCAACTAGCTTAAAAGTCCTTACATGGTTGCAGTGGAATGACTTCTTTGTTAGCACACACCTCCAAAAGCTTACTTTATGAAGGTATTTTTGAAGAAAGGGTTTGATAGTATGAAATACATCATAGAAATAGAAGTAGAAGTTTTGGTATTAAGTAAATGACTGCAGAAGCAAATTTCTGCTATTCTGGTAGGATTTCAAGCTTATTATTAATACTGAGCATGATCCCTCCTATCTTTGAGTGGGATTCACCTCACACAACTGCTGATATCCAGAATGAAGATGTCCTGTGCATGCTAATAACTGTAGATCCCTTTATAATCATCAAAGAGGGACCTCTCAGCATATTCCATCTAACCTGCATTATGCTTTCTTACTTCCCCTTACAGTACTGACTTTCTGTTTAGTGAGTTCAGACACAGGTTCAGATGTGCACAGCTACGTTCACTCTGCTTTGACCTTGGACTTACTGCTGAATTTTTCACTTGAGAAAGTGAAAATTGACTATTTTCACTTCCCAAGAAATAGAAAAGGTAATTGTGCCAGTAGCCAGAGACACACTTATCGTGTATCTAAGGTGCTGGGGTCAACATGAGAAAAGCACAGATAATTATTTTCTTTGATAGAGGACATCCTAAAAGACAAATGGTCATGGGGGTGCTTCCCAGTCAGTCTGTGCAGGCCAGTTCACAGAGGGTTAATGCCCTGTGTGCACACAGACTGCTGGTAAAGCAAAGCCTCAGGGCCAGGGGGGCTGGATAGAGACAACAGGGTGCCAGTGGGACAGCTCTTCTAGTCCACCATGTTGGTTCTTGCCATCACTGAATTTTGGGTTGCTGCAATATGAGGGACTGTCGGTGCTCGCATCTGAAGGCCAACAGCTAATTTATTCTACATTATTGAGAAATCTATTTTTATCTTCTGCCCTTCGTTAATTCTAAGCAGCAGTCTGCCTGTTCAAAAACACTATTGATTGACACTTAATGATATCATCAATGAAAGCTGAATGAGAATTTTAAAAGGCATTCTAAAAAAAAAAATTTTCTCAGTCTGATGAAAATGAGCAATAATTCATTCTCAAGAGTATCTTGTGGTAGACTTTCTGGGCAACAGATTCTTTGTATGTCCATGTCTTGGGGGTAAGCACAAACTCAGTAAACAGAAAAAAAACATTGTCTAAGATAGACTGTTTTACAATTGACTGATAATTTCTTTAGACCACTACTGTACAAACCACTCCTGAATTTTAAGGCATCCTGTTTGTTTAATTTGAAAGCTAGGAGGACATTTCTAGATGGAATCAAGCTGTTTCTGAGTAAACTTCAAGTTTTATTGGTGAGACAACTTCAGGATTCCCTGTTACTGTGATAGAAGTAGTGTTCTGATTTCTCACACAACATTTTATTTTTGCTGTAAAAACTATATCTTAAAGAAGCTATTAGTTCAAAATCTTCAAAAAGTACAAGTTACTTATAATTTTGTGAGGAGCATTAGTATACTTGGCTGGTTCCCTGAAATGCAGAAGGCATCATACTCTGTTCTGCAAAATTTGCACGTGAACACGGAATAAAGTAAGTGGTCCTAAGCAGAACCAGACAGTACCATTCAGAGGCATCGTAGGCAATGCTTCAAGCTGGTGGCCCATGAGAGAAATGAACTGTTCTTGAGTGCCTTAGCATTTAAGTTTATTGATTTCACTGAGACTTGATCACTGGAGACAAGACTCAGCTCAGCTCATTCTGGTCAGATCTAAATTAGGTGCCTTTTCCAATAATCTTCAACCTTCACACTGCAACCCCTGACTTTCTTGTGGCAGTCTCAACTACTTTAAGCCTTTCAGCAATAAGTTTTCTCTTCACAACACTTTCTGTGACTCTTGGGAAAGTCTACAGATTTTCTGGTCAAGTCTTGCAGCTGTTAAGGTTCATAATTCATCACACTGTCCTAGAAAATACATCTAATATAGACAGGAAGAAGGGCCAACTAGAGGTGCCTATCTTTGCCCAGGAATTAGAGCTGGAATTTAGATCCTATGCTTGAAGTATACTTTCAGCTTTAATTTATTTTAAACCATAGCTACCATGGGAGAGAACCAGAATCTGAGTCTTTTAGAGTCACAAGGAGTGTCCTGACAATTATCTACCTGAAGGTATTCATGGGAGTGTTATCTTTAATGCTAAAGGAATGCAAGAATCTTTCTCATCAATCTCTCAGAAGAATTACATATGCATACACTTATAATTAATTAATAGTATTGATATATACACATATTCCTAACAAAAAAAAAAAAAGAAAATCAGTAATGTCAGTAGGACAAATTCTCAGAAGGAACTCAATTTTCTCATGGAAAATGAGCATCAAGTGTACACTGTTTTCTCAAAGGTCACATATACCTGGTGATTGGTCTTAGAGACAGTCTGTGATGTTTCTGCATCTTCTTCCTCCTCACTGTCTTCTGAACAGGAATCAAACTCATCTTTGTAATATTCTTCTGCAATTTCTGGGTCTTCAGGGATCTCTAAAGGCAATTATGGGTTTATAGAATATATAGGGAAAAATGCACGATCTTAGAAAGATAAAATGAAATTTATAGCAGAATGCTATGTCAATAGCAATGCATTCTCTAATTGAAATCAAAGGATATTTTCTCAGATTAAAATGCTTGTCTTTCATGTTATGATAAGCAGTGTCAAAGCTGTCTCTGGCAAAAGGTTAGATCCTCATAATATGCAAATGAATGACTTTAAAGGATCTATATTGATATTGCACTGAAATCACTGAACCATAGAATAATTCAGGTTGGAAGGGACCTCATGGGATCATCTAGTCAAAGCAGGGCCAGAACTGAATTGAATCCAGCTTTTGTGAGCTGAAATTATGCCTCACTTTGGTTTTCTCTAACACACATAACCTGTGGTGAAAACAACTGCTAAGCTAAAATGAAAAATAATATATACCAGGTACATATACCAGGGATATGACATCACAGGAAGGATGTGACGTCACAGAGGAGGGTGCGATGTCACAGGAAGGATGTGATGTCATATGATGGATGTGATGTCACAGAGGAGGATGTGATGTCACAGGAGAGATGTGATGTCACAGAGGAGGATGTGATGTCACAGAGAAGGATGCTATATCACAGAAAGGATGTGATGTCACAGAGGAGGATGTGATGTCACAGGGGAGATATGATGTCATATGATGGATGCGATGTCACATAGGAAGGTGCAATGTCACAGGAAGGATGTGATGTCATATGATG